AGTGAGCACACGAGTTATCTATGAACGGTGATGCTGATATGTGACTGTCTGTGTGTGTGTGTGTCTATATCTGTGTGTGTTTGTGTGTGTGTATGTGCGTGCGCGCGCGTGTCTGTGTGTGTACGTTGACTGCCTGAAGTGAGTCTTGAGGCCGGTCAGAGGTTCTGCTCCGCTGGGTTTCAATGTGGGTGAAAAGGACTCGTTTAAGTAACTGCTATTACAATATCTGACGACCAATGTGGAGAGAGAGAGAGAGAGAGAGAGAGAGAGAGAGAGAGAGAGAGAGAGAGAGACTCTGCTTCTTTTTTTGGTGGATGTTAAAAAAAAACAGTTAATACGGTAAAACTAAATATACTTTTAGATGTCTTGAAGGAATTAAACATCACTAATGGTGGTACTGGAAGTGTAACCGACCTTACAGACACCAGGGAGCTGTAGTGTTAGTAAGGAATAAACACTACACTTGGTTCAGGGTGGGCAGGAGGGTCAACAAGGCTCACCCATCACTATTTTCCACCTAGTAAGAACTTTTAGGGCGAAGTCGTAAATATCGCCATGAAGTAATAATAAGTTAATAGTAAATTTATATTGAATTAATGGTATATAGACGATACAGATCTTATAAGCGATAGCAAAAGGAGAATGTCATAAGTGGTTAAGGAACTAGGACTTACAACAGGTATAATATATCGGTTTTATTTAGAACTGTTGGCTGAGGCGGTAGGGTGGACAGAGGGCATTCAGGTGTGGTGTTAAACATAAGTTATACAGATAAGAAAACAAATGAAGATATAGTAATAAGTTCAGGGTCAAAAGTTCACTCCATCCCAAACTGAAGCAGTATCGACCCCAGGTGAGATAAAACAACACACCCGCACCAGATTGAGGTAGAAGTCAGTTCGGAGACTCATTCCCGCTCATGTTTTGCTTGCAGGGAGCCAACTTTTGTCTGAGGGTGTACAATGTCTCGGGGTGAGGGCATGATGGTATACAACAATAACAACGCCAACGTACTACTACTACTACTACTACTATAACAACACCAACGTACTACTACTACTACACTACTACTACTACTATAACAACAACTACTACTACTTATACTATTAATAATTTTAATTTCTCAATAACTACCATTAATACACCTGCTGTTAACTGTAAGAAATACCCCAACTTCTGATTCTACTTTAACTAATTACCTTGACGCATCGCTATCCACCCTGACCACAAAAAGACTCTTGACCACATGAATACAATTCCCTCTTATCAGACTCCAGATCAATTTGAGTACAGACTGGCATGGCTGTCATTAATCACTAGTTCTTATTACCACGTTAATGACCCTGTAATTAGCATGCCATCTGGGGCTATCATGCAGGTTAATGAGAGTTTTATTATGTGTTTTCTTTTTATTGTCCACCTATCATTAATGGCGAACAGTTTGGACATGCCAATAATGCTGGTTGATCAGATTGATATGGCTGCTGTAATACGTTCTTGCAGTTGTAGAATGGCTTTAGTGATCACATCTATCTCTTAAAGGTCAACGTATTCCAACATGCTATTATTTCCCCTCCTAGTTCAATAAACCCGTCTGTTCATATAATATTCTCAGTTCGTTTTGTCGTCTGTCTGAGTGTGGTGAAGATCTGAGGTGAGAGCCGGTAAGACGCATTCTCACATCCTCATGTACAGAAGAAACATTAAACGTGAGGAACTGTCTTTTGAGAGTCTTCATCTTGGCCTTGGAAATAATTATGTCCTCCTCTTGTGGGTCAACAACTGTGCCTGTGCCTCACGTAGTCTGGTGTAATTATAACAACATGACTTATTGATAGGGATGGTGATGTTATTGTTATTATCATTATTATTGTCATTATTATTGGTTTTTATCATTATTAGTGTCATTATTGTCATTGTTATTGGTTTTTATCGTTATTAGTGTCATTATTGTCATTATTATTGTTTTTTATCATTATTACGATTATTATAAGTTATTGTTATCATTATTACGATTATTATTGGCGATTGCTGTCATTATTATGTTTATTATTGTCATTATTAGTGTGTGTGCCCTGGGTGGGAGGAGTGTGTGCCCTGGGTGAGAGTGAGTGTGTGCCCTTGGTGGGAGGAGTGTGTGCCCTGGGTGAGAGTGAGTGTGTGCCCTTGGTGGGAGGAGTGTGTGCCCTGGGGGTGGGAGGGTGTGTGCCCTGGGTGAGGAGGTGAGTGTGTGCCCTGGGTGAGAGTGAGTGTGTGCCCTGGGTGAGAGTGAGTGTGTGCCCTGGGTGAGAGTGAGTGTGTGCCTGGGTGAGTGAGTGTGTGCCCTGGGTGAGGAGAGAGAGTGTGTGCCTTGGGTGAGAGTGAGTGTGTGCCCTGGGTGAGAGTGAGTGTGTGCCCTGGGTGAGGTGAGTGTGTGTACCCTGGGTGTGGCATGAGAGGAGGGCCGCGGGCAGGTCAGGCAACAGTTGTGAGGCGTGACCACATCACTGGGATCACTTCACCTGCTACTGCTCCTATCACCTTCCCCTTCCCTTCTTCCTCCTCCTCCTCCACTATTTTTCCCACCCTTGCCCCTTCCACTCCCTCTTCCCCTTCCACTCCCTCTTCCTCTTCCACTCCCTCTTCCCCACTCACTCTTCCCCTTCCACCCCTTCCCACTCTACTCCACCTCCCCCTTCCACTCCCCATTTCAGACTTAATCCTCCTTTCATACCTTACTGTCACTATCTCATCTCCTGCTCCCTTCCTCCCTCGTCCTCCTCCGTCCTCCTCCTCCTCGTCCTCCTCCTCCTCGTCCTCCCTCCACTCCATCAATAACCGATACGGTCCCTTTATAGAGTTCTGTTCTCTCTCCCACCCCCCCCCCATATACACCAATTGAGCACTGCAGATAGTCACAGCTCGTGGTGGGGGTGAGAGGGCGCTTAGGTGGTGGGGTGAGAGGGGCGCTAGTAGGGAAGAGGGGACGCTAGTGGTGGGGGGTGAGGGGACGCTAGTGGTGGAGGTGAGGGGGGACGCTAGTGGTGGAGGTGAGGAGGACGCTAGTGGTGGGGTCCTCTCCTGTAGTATGAATATATTGTGTGGTTCCTTAGAGTGAGTGAGTTGATATTGATACCAAAACAGTTTATTTAGCCAGAAAAATACAGAAACAGGATGGTTAATAATAACAATATTGACACGGCTGAGTCAATTGAGAGCCCGGGCTACTGATTGTCTTGAGGTATAAGAGTTTTGCCAACACTTTTTTTTTTTACAGGAATTAGCCCACCCGGGCACAGGTCACTGACCCACATCGGGGCCTGGGGGGCAAAAATGTAATAATAATAATAATAATAATAAGGTAATAATAATAATAATAATAATAATAATAATAAGGTAATAATAATAATAATAATAATAATAATAATAATAATAATAATAATAATAATAATAATAATAATAATAATAAAGAACCATAAAGAAATAAAAAAATAAAAAAGATCAAAAGTGAGAAACAATATATGTATGTTGTGTTGTCAATAGTAAGTGAAATAATTGAGACCCTGCAATTGTGTGTAAATGAGGCAGAAAGTCAGATCAGCAACCTGTGACTTGGTCACAATTTTCGTGATGCCATGTGGCAGCAGGGTCTTACCACATACACTTATTTAAAACCCTCGTGTGTTAGCTTAAGTCATTGTGTTTAGTCAAGTCACGGTCATATGATTGTCTTAAGGCTTACCTGAGTGACACAGTTTCAGTATATATCGTCTACACATTGTTCATTAAGTGGGGAACACAAGACGCTGGAGGGGGGGGGGGTTATTATTTACAACGTGTAGTGGAACTAACTGTTGAGGTTAACCAGTCATTGAGGGGTGAGTGTGGGAGACTGAGTAACTGGGAGTCAGTCACTGGAACAATAGGACACTTCCATCACGCCATTCCTCGTTTTTGTTACTCCACCATTCACATTTTTGTAGCAGTGTCCATATGTTGTCCTCCAGTGTGTAGCTGACGTACACATGTGACTGTTTTACACACACACACAGGGTAAAACATGTCCCAAGGGCGATTCTCTTATTGTAACACACATAGAAGATATGTTTGATATATTGAGCCTAAAACCTAACCTAACCTAACCTTCTGGGCAGGGAGGAAGGGAAAGAGAAAGGGATGAAGGGACGGAGGAAGGGAGAGAGAAGGGGAGGGAGAAAGGGAGGGAGAGGAAGGGAGGGAGGGAAAATGGTAGGTGTAAAAGAACGAATGAAAGAAAGTTGTAGAGGGAAGAAAGTAAGGGTGGAGGAAGGGAAGGAGGGAGGGAGGAAGGAGAGGAAAGGAGACAGAGAGGAAGGAAGAGAGAGAAAGGGAGGGAGGCAGGATGTGGGACGACAGCATCCTACCGGAACCAACATCACAAGAGGACTTTAATTAATATAAGAGAGAGTTGTTGAGCTAAAGAGATAAATGACTTGGATGGCTAAAAAAAGTAAGAGTCAGTGTGTGTGTGTGTGTGTGTGTGTGTGTGTGTGTGTGTGTGTGTGTGTGTGTGTGTGTGTGTGTGTCGACATCATCTGAGGGCCAGGCACACAAATCTCTCCTAATAATTCGTCCTGGGAAAATAACCTATGGAAAGTACTGTACCTACGTCGTTACAAACCACTAGAATCGCTGGAAGAATACAGTAGTTAAGATAATGATAGTGGTTCCCATAGTTAGAGACGAGGTGTGGTGGAGGTGGTAGGGGTCATTAAGCTGCCGGGTCCCGCTCACTACCCACACCAAGATCCTCCCCAGAAGGTATTAACATTTTGTGTAGTTTGTGAATTGATGATGGATGCTTGCTTGTACTGGTTGGCTATGTAATGTTAAAAGGTATACAATCAACTAATCAAGAGCTGCACACCTGTTGAGATATATGGAAAGAGTACATCAACAGGTGTGCATGTTGTAGATGGTATGAATTTAGTGTGTCCAAAACTGCGCATGTGTTAGAGGGTTTGAGGGAAGTCTTTCTACAATTACGCAGGTGTGGGAGGTTTGGACGCAGGTGTGGGAGGTTTGGACGCAGGTGTGGAAGATCTGGACGTAGGTTTGGGAGGTTTGGACGCAGGTGTGGTAAGTCTGGACGCAGGTGTGGAAGATCTGGACGTAGGTTTGGGAGGTTTGGACGCAGGTGTGGAGGTTTGGACGCAGTGTGGGAGGTTTGGACGCAGGTGTGGAAGATCTGGACGTGGGCTGGTGGGGAGGTTTGGACGCAGGTGTGGAGGTTTGACGCAGGTGTGGGAGGTTTGGACGCAGGTGTGGAAGATCTGGACGTAGGTGTGGGAGGTTTGGACGCAGGTGTGGGAGATCTGGACGTAGGTGTGGCAAGTCTGGATGTAGGTGTGGCAAATGTGGACGCAGGTGTGGCAGGTCTGGACGCAGGTGTGGCAAGTGTGGACGCAGGTGTGGCAGGTCTGGACGCAGCGTCGCTCAAGCAGAAATTTGAACTTTGGGGGTTTATTCCCAGTAGACAAAACGGAAGACGTGGGTCACGGACGGTAGGAGGTGTGGGTCATGGGTGGTGGGTCATGGGTGATGGGTCATGGGAGGTGTGGGTCATGGGTGGTGGGGTCATGGGAGGTGGGCTGCGGGAGATGTGGCCGCGGTGGTGGGGTCAGTGGAGGTGTGGGTCATGGAGGTGGGTCATGGGTGGTGGGTCATGGGAGGTGTGGGTCATGGATGGAGGGTCATGGAGGTGGGTCATGGGTGGTGGGTCATGAGAGGTGTGGGTCATGGATGGAGGGTCAGTGGGAGGTGGGTCGGGTGGTGGGTCGCGGGTGGTGGGTCATGGGTGGTGGGTCATGGGTGATGGGTCATGGGAGGTGTGTGTCATGGGTGGTGGGTCATGGGAGGTGTGGGTCATGGGTGGTGGGTCATGGGAGGTGTGGGTCATGGGTGGTGGGTCATGGAGGGTTTGAACAACTACTCCTCATGAGACAAGCTCCATACCTTATAAATATACGAGTACACTAATTCAAAGGTAGTTTAAATAAATAATAATAATAATAATAATAATAATAATCACGAATAAACGAAAGAACGAGTAGATAAACAGATCAATATAATAAATATAACACAAGTAAGATAAAGAAAGACTAGTAAAAACAGACTCAGTTAGAGAAACGCGGATGTGTATGAATATCATCTCAGTCTCGTACATGTAAACATTAATTCGTTAGGTCAGGTACACCAGAACACAGAGAGCCACGTTAGTTACCCGGGTTGATACAGGTGTTTACTGTGACACTATCCTCACGCTGGCTCGTCTGTCTTGGTGTAATGACAGTACAGTAGGATCATTTGTTAGATGTTTGTTAGCATTTATTTTTGTGTGTTAGATACCCCTTGTAGCTTTAACCCTCACGGATAATGAATGGTAACTTTGCCGTGTGGTCAAAGCTCGACACCTGGTGACTGGACTGTGGTAGTCAAAATGAACTTACCTGTCTAAGATAGACCTTTACCATTATCACTGGTTATGTAAAAGATAAGTTTATGTATATTTCAATGTCCTTTTACTTGTTTCTCTATCTTTTCTCTATCTTTTCTCTCCCTCTCTCTCCTTTCAACTGGGGCGTGTGGTAGCTGATAACTGGTCTCTCTACCCCGGAACCTTCCCACCCTGGGGCAACAACACTCACATAAAAAAGACTGGGCTGTAAGCGTCTCAGCCAGGAATCATTTCATTATCACGCTGGTGTGGCTAAGACTCACAGGTAAGCGCTGAGACTTGCCTCACCTGCCGGCTGACTGTCAACCATCGTCCTCGTCGCGAGCTGTTGTGGGTCACGTGCAGGTAGTGGAAGCTGTTTTATGACCATTCTCAACACAGTGTTTAACCAAAGATAGTATACGAACATTCACAACGCAGACGTGACCTGACCTTATCAACACCAAGAGGATCACGATAGAGGCTGGGAGATCAAGTCCATTGGGTGTTTTAGTTCAGTTAATTCCACTTTCAGCGATAAAATGTGGCTAACTACTTGAATTCTCAGGTGTCTGGGCATGGTACCTCGAGGTCTGTTGTGTTCAGGTTAGCTTATCATTAAGGTGTGATTTTGTTATCTATTTGTGTAAGATAAACTTCTGTCTGTACTTGAAAATGAAATTACTTTATATAGCAGGAATAATATGCTGATGGAATGATGAAGCGAATATTAGTTTACATTACATGGTATTACTTAAGACACCAAAGCATTATATAATGTACACACAAAAAACATTCATACACACACACAGATATTAACGCACGAACATAGAAACACTCGAACATTATTTTAAGTTACTTTACTATGTTACAAAGCTGGTGTTGTGTACAGCTTACAGCGCGTGTACTGTACCTTGTGTTGACAAACATTCCAACAATTATTGGCAACAAGAGGGCTCAGCCTCACCTGTCATCACACCGTCATTTATTTCCCTGAACTAATCGTGCAGTCGGTTATTGCTGGACGATGGGTAATTAACGCTAACTCATACTAATTACCGTATCATGCCTCTAATACTAATGGTACGGCAGCAGGGGCCTGGTGGGAGGCGAGGCAGGGGCGTGGTGGGAGGCGAGGCAGAGACCCTGGACCAGGAAGGATCTGGGTAGTAAAGGGATGGAGGGACGTCGTTTGTGTTATTAACATCGTCAGCTTCCGTATTGACTCCATCAGGTAACGGGAAGATGGACGCTGCCTCCTGGGGGTCGAAGAACTAGAGTTGTTTGTGGTTGTTAGAGGCGGGTCATGTTGTTTGTGGTTGTTAGAGGCGGGTCATGTTGTTTGTGGTTGTTAGAGGCGGGTCATGTTGTTTGTGGTTGTTAGAGGCGAGTCGTGTTGTTTCAGGCAACATGTAAAGTCGCCTGCACTTATACCTGGTACATTGGCTGGGACGTTTTGTGAGATGTGGCAACTCTGTAGGAATATTTATCTAACATCCTTAGTCTGGCTACATTGCGGGGTTCCTTAGGGCCATCCCGGGAGTTTGGCTACGATGTAAACAAACACAGACGTACAGGTAGTGTGTTATTACATACAACAATCCCAGGTGTAATTAACAGGATTCTTTCACCTGTGTTGACGTAACCAGGATCCCACTTACATACGCTGTTTCAAGGCTTTTGTAGACATAAACACGTGTTATGTCTTACATGTCTGCTGTAGCCCCTTAAGGCATTTCTTGTAGACTGAGATAATTGTTCTAGTCTCTCTCTCTCTCCCACTCCGTCTCCCCCCCCTCCCTACCCCCTCTCTCCCCTTCCACCCCCTCCTATCCCTCCCTTCCTCCCTCTCATCCAACGTCCGTACGAGGCATCACACTTCCTATATTGGATTAGTTGTACCTATAGCGGCAACCATCATCACTCATAGTGGCTCTTCCGGTCCCCCGCCGACCATAGGGACGCCTTGGTCGCTTATCATACAGCACTTCTCTCTCTCTCTCTCTCTCACTGTGGTTTCGAGATCAGTTATGGTTAGGATTTTAAATGTATAATTGTATTACATAAAATATCTTAATTTGCATGCCATCAGTGATGTTGATTACGGGAAATACATACATACATACATACATACATACATACATACATACATACACACATACATACATACACACATACATACATACATACATACATATATACATACATAATAAGTACTTTAGAACGAGATAATACTTAAGCTATTGCTGACACACACACACACACACACACACACACACACAGACTGACACACACACACACACACACACACACACACAGACCGACACACATACACAGACTGACACTAGTTTATCAAGGAGTTGTAGGTCACTGTAACTATCATCTAACGTCACCCATTGGTTGTGATATGCCACTTCTCCCTCCCGCATTACGTTACACCCATAATATAAGTTTCCTTCATTGCATATCGCCGTGTAGTGATTTGTACCTTGATGTTCATATTGCTCCACGACCGGGAGACTGTTTATTACTGGTGGGTTGGTGTGGTAACGTCATCAACATCGTTTAGCAGAGCGGAACGAGAACAACACTGGCACTACCCCAACACTGGCACTAGAACAACACTGGCACTAGAACAACACTGGCACTAGAACAACACTGGCACTACCCCAACACTGGCACTAGAACAACACTGGCACTACCCCACAGAGGAAGGTTGGGTGTGAGGAATGCCACCAGGTGTAAAACAAATGAGTGGTGGCGATGTGTCCAGTGATCATAACAGTTATACGATCACCACCCACCCACCTTGCACCTCACCTTGCCTGCCCACCCACCCACCCGCCCACCCACAGCATAGATTACTTGACCGCAATGATCAGGGGAGGCAGTGACGAGAACTTGTAGTGAAGGTAAGAGAGGAATACTGTATATAATTTACGTTGACAATCTTCTTGTTCCAGTTCTCTATCATTCTTCTTGTTTCCGTTTTCTGTGGTTTAGTATGTGGCCAGCAGGAACTATTTCAAAACATATTGAGACAGTTGCTCCACAAACACTCTCCACACTTGGCAATATCTGACACCCACTTACAGGTCATATACGTGATTGGGTTATACGTTGTGAAAGCTGCAGTGTCTTTTGTATGAGGCCAGAATGACAAACGTTAAAAAGAGTGTCCAGGTGTTTATATCTGCTGGTGTTCTCTATCTGTTCTGCTCCCCATTTACAAGTGAAGGTCGGTAGCACAAGGCACAGTTACTCACACTTGACCACACCAAGAGGCTACTCCACCCACCACAAGCGTACGGCAGCTGCTTAAGGAGGAGGAGGGGGGGGTGGGGGGTCTATGGTCACACCCACCCCCACCCACAACCCCCACCCACAACCCCCACCCACAACCCCCACCCACAACCCCCACCCACAACCTCCACCCACAACCTCCACCCCCACGCTAATTCTCTAAAGCTGCATTTCTTTTTTATAACTAACTTACCCACCACAAGTTGTACCCTCTGAGAGTGTTACATATATTACAGTTTGATTTATGATGGATTGAGAGCAGTTACCTCCACCAAGAGCAGAGTATTGGAGGAAGGAGGAGGAGAAGGCAGCTGGGGACGTGATAATTTCCAGGTGAATCAATCTCCATTACCAGCACATGATAAAATAATCGTATGTCCTTCACTCCTCTTTTCCAATTGCGGTTTTTCGTTGTCATTTGTTAAATTTATTGAGTGTGTGTGTGTGTGTGTGTGTGTGTGTGTGTGTGTGTGTGTGTGTGTGTGTGTGTGTGTGATTCCTATGCATTTTCACAATTTCGAAGACAGAGAACTGAAATTTGGTAGGGAGGTGCGGGTGGACTCGGGGATGGTCTTGCACTAACTCCTGTCCCCCTACCTGTAGTACCACCACCTGTAACACCACCACCTGTAGTACCACTACCTGTAACACCTGTAGTACCACCAGCTGTAACACCTGTAGTACCACCAGCTGTAACACCTCTAGTACCACTACCTGTAACACCTCTAGTACCACCAGCTGTAACACCGGTAGTACCACCACCTGTAACACCACCACCTGTAGTACCACCACCTGTAACACCTGTAGTACCACCAGCTGTGTACCTGTAGTACCACCACCTGTAACACCACCACCTGTAGTACCACCAGCTGTAACACCTGTAGCACCACCAGCTGTAACACCTGTAGTACCACCACCTGTAACACCACCACCTGTAGTACCACCACCTGTAACACCTCTAGTACCACCAGCTGTAACACCTCTAGTACCACCAGCTGTCAACAACACCTCAAAGAATAGTTACAAAGGTCACTCGTACAGTCATGTTTACTATGACGTCTCCTTACTGTTGATTAGAAACACTGCAGTGAGTCCAACTAAAACCATTGACACGACCCACAAGCCAGACACGCACTGACACGCACCAAACCGTAGCCACATTTACTCAGACCACAGTCACGCACATACACTGAATAACACATTAGAATCTCATTAACACTGATTTATTAAACTATGTCATTATTTTGCTTAGTCGCTTCATCAACTCGTATATAACTGTGTGTGTGTGTGTGTGTTTTATAAAGTAACATTTCCAATTTAACTTACGACTTTACCAACAGAGAGGCGAGGCACAGGGGATTATTTTTTTTTGAGTGAAAGAACATGCCAACAAAAGGTGTCTGAGTTTCCATTCAGGTATAATATTTACTGAGTGTAGACGAGGGTAATCCAAAATATTTAATGTGTGTTTAAGAAAGTCACGGGAGGAAGGTTTAGTGTGAGAGGTGATGATACACTTGGTTTATTTCTCTTCGTGGGAACTACTGACGAAGGAGTTAAATCACATCTTGGTCGTCAGTGTCAGGATTAGAAGGAACAGCTAAATTGTAGCTTTGTTTTAGTTTTCATTTAAGAGCACGGATACAAATTTTCGGACTTGATCTAGGCTTTGGTGATATTGAATTCACTATGGTGATATTGAGTACATTCCTATGATGATATTGAGTACTCTTC